GAAAGCTAAGCAGAAGTTATTTGGAGAGGAGAGTGACTGCCATTGGTTGAAAAGAGAGGTAAAAAAAACTTCAGTGGTGTGGAAACATTATGGGTTCGCGGAGTCAGACGTGGATCAAGTAGACATAGTGTGTAAACTTTGCTACAGTGTCGTAGCTGCACCACAGAGCAACACTGCAAAGTTTACTAAACATAGATGTTTACATTTTTCATTTATTTTTTATATTGCAAACATTTGCACTGTTATCAGTATTTGCACACTATTTTATATTATTTTTGACAATCTTTAAAGTCATTATTCAATACATTGTTATTTTTAAATAAATATCGTCAAATAATCGAGATCTCAATTTCAGTGAAAATAATCGTGATTATCATTTTTGCCATAATCGAGCAGCCCTACGTTGTAGCCACGAGAAGTGGAATCGGTCCAGAGATGGAGCATGAAAAGAGACAGGGGGAGACAGGAGTGCATACAAAAAAAGTTTAGGAGAGAGACAGACTTCTTGGCCCCTTAGTGACACTCAAGCCAACCTAATACTGATCACATATCACACAAACTCGCATACACATTTTTCAGTGTTCCACATGGCATTTCAGTCTCACTGCTGTCTTTGAATAACACTCCTTACATAAAAGAGCATCTGGTAACGCATAAGATATATACACTGTCACCATGTGCCCGTGCTGCCCGCAGTTTCGCATTATATGTGTGTTTGCATCGTTTGACTATCGATACCACCATTGATAGTCAAACGTGTCACCTTTGATGCCTTTTTTTAGTACACTCTTTAGGCACCCATTCACAATCCTGAAGTGGATGAAGCCCACTGTGGATTGACATGGCATTAATTTTGGTGACATTGAACCTGGTTAGATTTAGAGCTATGTGTTAGACTTTATGAGTCATGTAGCAAAAAAAACCCCGGAAAAACAATACAAAATTGACAGCACCAAAAGGTCTTCTTACCCAGCAACAGTGATATGGATGCATGAGACACACAGTCGCATACCTTTGACCACCACAGTCATAACTGCCCTTATTAGATGTGGCTCATATACATAATACCTGGGTCTTCAAATAGCTGCCTGGGGGCTCACAGTGTCAGGCTGAGTGTGAGCTGCCATATGTAAGTCAGTTATGATGGATGGTCTAGTGGAGACATGTAAACCTCTGACACTGTTAACATCTTGCAATGTTCGCATTTACAATGTGACCTTTCTGCACCTTCACACCTCTGTCGGGGAGACTGTTACATTACAAGTTAAGTAACAAGTCAAATCACTACAGTCTTTACTTAAATGTTGTAACAATGTATCTTTTGTGTCTTTTAACTCTTTTCTCTACACAGTATGACATAGTGGGCCACTCGGGTGATGGCTACGACATTGAACTGGTCACGGCAGACAAAATCCCCAAGAATAACAAGCAGAGACTTAAAGTCCTGAAGGTATACTCATGCTTTGTTTTGCTCACCCAATTGGACTGAAAAAAGTGTTTTGCATGAATTTCTTTCTCTTTAAAATCTGTGTTCACATGAAATTGTACATTAAGTCAAGGTAGCCACACAAACTGATGAACATCTCCAAACTATGTCATTTGGGGCTGCAAGTATGAAGATAAATAAAATCTGTGGCTTGCTCTTTATTAATCAGCCTTTTCCTTGCACTTCAGGTCATGCATGCCCACTCTCAGTTCTGCATGAGTGGTGACTACACTCTGGAGGGGACGGAGGCCAGCATCAAGGAGCTGGCGAGAGAAGAAGCAGATGAGCACTTTGTGGTGGTGCTGAGCGACGCTAATCTGGAGCGCTACGGCATTCGGCCCGAGCGCTTTGCCCAAGTCTTGACCTCTGACCCACAGGTCAATGCCTTTGCCATTTTCATTGGCTCCCTTGGCGATCAGGCTGAAAGGTAAGGAGTTGAAGATGATGATAACTTGGGTGGAGTTAACTAAGAGCGAGCAAAGTGCAAAGAAGATGGAAAGAAAAGAGGAGTAGATGAAGGAACATGAAGATGCAAAGAATTCATCATGAGACAATTCTTAAGTTCTGGGGCTCCAAACAGTTGCATTTAGTTAGTTTGCTCTTCAAGGTCATCTTCTCATGCACCTCTGTATTGCTTCCAACATTACTTTTATTTTTCTGATTGCTTATGTCTGCTTGCACCTGTGTCGTTGCAATTTAAAAATGGACCTCAAATTTGCACAGTGAGTAAAAACATCAACTTCTGAATCAGACTGACCTGCTTTCAAATCAGGAACTATTGTTAATAATGATCTCATTGGCTCCACTTTGAGGGCTGGGGTCGGTATTTACTTATGTATATCATCACTCTAGGCTCTTGGCTAACTAAGGGTTAGCATGCTATCCGTGCAGATCCTTGCAAAGACCCTAAGTTGTGTTGGCAGCATAATGTGGTTGTTTCTGTCCTGGATGCAGTTTGCACTTTACCATTGCGCCCTCATGCTTTTGTGCAATAAAAATAAAAGTAATGTCCTTATCCACGCTGTAGGCTGTGGCTCTATTTTCCTCTTCGGCCATACAATCTGAAATCAGCTGATTGTAGTGCAGGTGCGAGTGGAACTGATAAGCAAGCAGACTAACAAATAGAAATACTAGGAATAGAACTGCTAGAAACGGTTCTCAATTCCCATTCCTAGTTTCCCAGAGATTCATGTTGCTGAAAATTTGTCCACTCCTTCAGATTGAAAGCAAAGTGCAGGGTTACTGTTTTGACACACCAGAGGGAATCTAGTGGCCAGGAGACAGAATGAGCCCTCCAGTGCTTTCAGTGCTGCGGTTAGCAATATCACTGAAAGCAGTCCCAGAGATGAATGAGGAGATAACCCTGAAGAAGTGATTGACCAATTTTTATTTAGTTAAGGTTTTAAATCTTCAATTTCAGTTCCAGAATGTTAAAGTAGCTCCTTTTGGGCTATATTAAAACATCAGCATCCCCATCTGCTGCCTGTCCTTACTGTCTGTCTCAGATCAAGTTTCCAGGCCAGATGAAAGCGCAACAAGTGTACTCGTTAACCTGCTCCTCCTCATCCTCATTGCCATTCTACTGCAGGCTTCTACTGTAGCTCCTTACCAGACATACATCCTATTTGTTGAGGCTTGCAGGCCTTGAAGCTTTAAACTCGTTGAAGAACTGCCTGGCTTAACGCAGTCTTTAGCTCCAGGAGCTTCAGAAGATAATAAGCCTGTTCTATACTTTGCTCATGAAAAGCAGAAAAAAAAGCAAAGATAGAAAGAGATATGAAGTCAACTACTCTTTAAGGGCAGACTGTCAGAATTTGAAGATATAATTAAAATAATATCTTTTCATGCCCTGGAAGCCCTGGAATTGGTTATGGATGCCCTAAGAGTTATATAATTTTCCTTCTTGAGCAACACTTTGGGAATGCTAATTTTATATCCCTGTTGACTGCCCGTGTGTGTGTATGTCCTGAGAGGAGAAATGCATAGGGACACGGTTGAATGAAAGAACAAAGGCAGAGGCTCATTAGAGTAAATGGGTTTATACAAATGATTCAAAGGCATTGGAGGTGGCTCTGTTGTCTTGGTGCTGAGCTCCACCGAGTGAAAGGCATCTCTTTCATTCACACACACTCATACACTGTATTCCTTTAATGGGAATATGTAGTGCCAGCTCACACAGCAAATACAAGTAGTCTCTTTTAATTTTGGGAAACAATTCCAGTGCTAAAGTTCAGTTCCTTTCTTTGACCTCTATCTTCATTCTCTCTTCCTGTTCTTTTGTTTCAGACTCCAAAAGACCCTTCCAGCAGGGAGGTCCTTTGTCGCCATGGACACCAAGCAGATCCCCCAAATCCTGCAGCAGATCTTCACCTCCACAATGTTATCCAGTGCCTGATGCAAACACATAGTACATACCGTACACTCACTTGTTATCTCACACACCCAAAACTTCAAAAAGTTTGTTGTGAAAGCGCTGAAAATCTTCACACTCTGTGTCACATCAAATGACTTTATCATGGCTGCAGCAGGTCCGGAGGGGTCGCATTAGCACGAGCCGGGGGTTGGACAGTTTGTTATTGTTAAGAAGCCTGTTAGCATGACAGAGTAACTCATGTTTAGATATTTTGCTGTGTCCCTCTGGGAACAGCTACAGTACACAAAGCGTGTGATCTCTTTTAGTGTGACTGTAATCTGCTGTGTAATCTGTGACGCGAATGCCTGGAGCCTGTCTCAGATCCCATGTAGGGATCAAACACACAGCCTAACCAGCTGTTCTTTTTAATTGTGTTTTTGCCCCTACACACACACACACACACACACACACACACACCTTTGTCCTCTATCGGGCTGTGAGAAACTCAAAGGGAAGGGCCATGGAGTCGTGACAGCATCCATTTATGTCAGAGCTCCTGACTTCTTGTCTGTCACGCAGAAAAATGCACAGACACACACAAGAAAGCCGACAGTAAAGCCCCACCTGACCGACACTCGGATGCGCCGAGCAGCAATAACTTGGCGCCTTTGGTATGTTGGGACTGCCACCAGGGAATTTCCCACCTGGCTGCACGCGGACTTTAAAGCCTGCCGCTGTTGTACACCCCCATACTGTGTGAGTGTGCGTGTATGTGTGTGTGTGTATTTTCCTAGAGCATCTATGTCAACATGTGCAGACCCTTTTCTTCCTGTCCGGTGGAACATGTGTTGCCTCGTGTGCGCTCAGAGCTGCCTTTCATTGCAAGAGCTCCCAAACACAAAATACTTTCACTGCGAGACAGATGAAGAGAAAAATCCAGGACTAGTGGGTCAGTGTGTATCAAACATCATATCAGTGTCTTCCCTGGTTGTCATAGTTATTGTTCATGCCTGACTATGTTGAATCAATAGACGCCTGTCCAGCTGTCAGCCTCTATTGATTTCTGTGAGTGAGGCATATGCCATTTTTTTATTAACCTACTTTAATTTGCCTCTGGCTCCTAGGCTGCTGATTAGTTGGAAATGTAAGATATTTGCTGGGTGGAACCTCATGTTGGGAAGGCATTAAAAAGTGTATATTAAAATTCATACATGTATCTAGTTTTTACATTAATTTCTGGTGAAATAAACTGTAAAAGTAATGTAGAGCATTTTAATAAATGTTAACATTGCTATTTGATTCAATTTCTGCCCCATCACTTCCCTTCTGAAGACTATTTCTGCTGCTGCTCGATTATCCGATAAATCACATTTCTGACGAGCGTTCCTGTCCTTCCTGGTGTTGCAAAAGAAAACCGTTTATCTGCAGATAAGCACAAGTGGAGATAATGGATGAAGATTAAGTATTTCTTAACAAGAAGCAGTCAGACAGCGCAAACCTCCGTCAAAGCAGCTCACACTCTGAGCAGGTTTTACTTTCAGGGAAGTCATTTCATATTTTGTAAATTTTTGTTTGGTTTTCTTTGTTCTTTTTGTGTAATTTATTTAGGACAGTGCATGTTAATGAACATAAATGTAAAAAGAAATTACATGAATGATTATAGCCATTTAATTTCCATCTGTTGTCCATAAAACATTTAAAAAAAAAACATAATAATTCATAAAAATGCATAATTCATTCATAATAAAAACTCCATCACCAAACTCACACATACACACCATTCTATTCCCAAATAAAACATTAAAACTATACAACTTATGCATGATCACACACTTGATTTGTCTATAACCAGTTTTTAACCTTTGCCTTAAACAAGTTGAATGTCGAGCATTCTCTAATGGGTTGAGGAAGACTGTTCCACAGATGGCCACCCTGAACAGAAAGGACGTTCTGCCCAAATGCTGTCCGTCTATGGGGTATAAACAAGTCTCCTCGGGTTGTAGCTCGAGTGGTCCTGTCTGAGCTTTCTTTATGCCTAATGAACTGCTTTAGTGGTGGTGGAGCAAGGGAGTGTTTGACTTATATACTTATATATTAGACACACTCTTTTAAGTTTCACTAAGTTATTGAAGTTCAGTAATTTATGTTTTTTTAACACATGACAGTGGTGGTGGGAAGTTTTTTTGTCAAGTAGTTTTAAAACTTCTTTTATAAATGTTTTCAATAGTTTTAAGTGTTGTTGGACAAGCAAGTGACCAGGACGTCAAACAATAGTCCATATGAGAGATGATCATTGAGTAAAAATAAGTTTTTGCAACATTCATATTTAAATTATTACGTATATGATAAAATTTTGATTATTAAATTTAAGTACCTGGGACTCTTTATTTATGTGACTCTTGAAGGATAATGTTGGGTCTAGAATGAGCCCAAGATATTTAAATTTTGGAGCTAATTCAAGCTCTACTCCATCCAGGAATATTTTTAAATAATTTTAATAATTATTATTAATCATTTTAAAATGTACTTTGAAAACTTTGTAGTCCAGTTAAAATCAGATAAGGGAAGCATGAAGATGTTTACTTTGATTACAGAAACCTTCTGAAGGAGTAGGCGATGGATAATAGGTATGATTTGTAAATAACTGGACAAATAACTTTATAATGTAATATTATACTGCAGTGTATTTTTAACTAGGCAACTCATTCTCTTTCTTTAAAGATAGAAGACATTGTGGGGTCAACCTGAAAGAAAAGCAGATGTGAAATGTAAAAGTGAGGTCAGAGGTCAAATGTGATATGATATTTAGATGCAAACAAACAAATAATGTGATGTTTAGAGTTCCCATATACCAGAATCGTTCAATAAATGCTTTTAAGTGTAGCTTGAAAGATGAGACATTTTATGAAAGTTTGACCTTGAAGAAGAGGTCAAAGGTCCAAAGTAAGTGATATTTAGAATCCCCATATATCATCCCCTATATGCCCATATGGTGTCAGTATAAACAATGGCAGTAATGGCAACAGGCTTTATATAGTTTTATTATCACTTTGACATTCAGGTCAATCGATTGACCTTGAAGGAGAGGTCACAGGTCAAATGTGACATGATATTAAAGGACCTTGAAGACTTCAGTGGATAGAAGCCAGATTTTAATAGATTGTTAACATGAGTCCACTTTACACGCCTTTTTTTTAAAAAAAAAAAAATCAGAATTCAATAAAAACTTTCTGACCTATCATGTTTACAGACTGAAATAATGGCAGCGATACACACAAGCGTTTGCTGGTGGTAATAAGTGGAGACTAGTCTCTAGATTGTAATTTTACAGAAGAAATGAAGTAAAACTTCCCAGTTGGAGAATGGCCACTGCTTGCTATTAACACAAAAACTGACTTCTTTAGTTCATAATTCCTAAAAGTACTCCGGGCTGCCCCTTTCTTCCAGTGGGTTGTCACGGCTGATGGATCCGCATGTTTTGATTTGGCACAGATTTTGCACTAGACGCTCTTTTTTCCCCCCGATGCAATCATCTTCCGACATTTATAATACATTAAGAAAAAAAACCTTTTGCTTTTGCTTGACACAAGCCTTAATTGTGAGCTTATTAAAGGACATTTTGCAAGTGTTGGTTAGAGTCAACATTTATAATTTCATATTCAGTGTCAGCAACATATTTAGAATGTTTAGTAAAACCACGAATGATACGTGGGCAATAACGCGTTACTGTGTTGTGTATAATTGTACAAGAGAACACAAGAACTCCATTCTTAGAAACCGAGGCAGTTCTTTGCATCCCAGACCGCTCGGCTTTCCTCTCATTTCCTGCTGGTCACTTTTTCCGTGTGCCTCAATGATCCATTCACTGGACCACAATCACCAGGCCCACCCTCCCACTGTTTTGACTGTAGCCAAAACAACTGTCTGCATACTATGTGCTGTTGTTCACATATACGCACAGCATGCTGATAGCTCTGGTGCTACATTCATTGTGTTCTTTGGGTTTCCGTGCTTTACCACCAGAAATAATTTGCCACACTGTTCTCGCTGCTTTGAAGTCTTTCCTCCTCCGGTGCTCGGGTAATGACGTTTTAGAAGATTATTTATATTCTCAGTCAATGGCTGTCATGACTTTCTCTGACTATGCTGCTTCCTCTGTTTACTCTTACTGGGCCTGTGAGGAAAAATAAGCGCCCTTTCTATAACATAGAGGATCTTATTTCAAAAAATATATGAGGTTTATGTGAAGTTTACAACAGGAAAAAACTCGCACATGCAAAATAAGATTCATTTACATAAGAATGTTGCTGGTATACAGTGATTATGTCTACACTAACCTCTGCTTGAGACTGTCTGCCCAGTGTGCTGGTAATTACATACTGCTGCTTGCTTCCTGTGCTATACTGCTTTATTGACTCATTGTTTATCACGCTGAATTTGCAATGACAAATAGTTTTAGGATAACTTTGTGTGCCGACACACACTTAACCTGTTACACTCATCCTAAGTCCCTCTACAAACGCAAAATAAGACGTGGTATAGTGGGGCGTTACATTCATTAGTCACAGTTAGATGTGTATTTATCTTGTGTTTCCCCCTTCTTACACGCTGGCATACCCTGTGAGTCACATTGTATTTTTTTGCAGTTGGCAACATTTAAAAATAGAGGTTGTAATGCAAAATGTGCAATCTATTTTCAGCTACTTCTTGCTGATGTTGTTACATTTCATGCCTGGGCACACAAATACATGTTCACTACGTACTGTAATAAGTGTGAGCAACTCGCATGGCTGGCTTTGGGTTAAACTACAGTGGGACTGATCACAGGAGGGACACCACAGGGAGAGATTGACTGTGACCGTGATTGATTGCTGATTTTGTGGCAGCCTAGCAGGAGACATGAGGCGGGGTGATTGCTTTAGTGCAGGGGTCCCCAATCCCAGTCCACGAGGGCCGGTGTCCCTGCAGGTTTTAGATCTCACCCTGGGTCAACACACCTGAATCACATGATTAGTTCATTACCAGGCCTCTGGAGAACTTGGCTGTGTCCCATTTCAGGGTCTGCACGCTTGAAGTACGCGCACTACGCGTACTACATACGGTGCGTACTATAAGTACGAGAAGTGCGGAAGT